TAATCGATTCTTCGAGGTCAGCTAATCGATTTGTTTTTTTATCGATAAGTCACTCTTTCAAGTAATTTTGTTTTTTTTTTTTTTTTTTTTTATTTATTTACGGTAGTAAATTTTTAACAAACATTGGGTGGGTAAATTGCTTTTTTAAAAAAAAATGTAAATGCATTTAGGGAATGGTTGGAAAACTAAAGATCTAATAGTTTGTAGTATATTTTTTATGAAAATTAATTTAGCATATATTTAATAATTTTATAACAAATAAATTATGGCAAAAAAAAAATGAAAATAAAGTTAGCCGACACCTCAAAATTTTTATAATTTTTTTTATTTAAGAATTATTACAAAAAAATAAAAAAAAAATTTTTTCATTTGTTAAAAACTTCAAAAACTATAAGTGCAATTTTTTAAAAATATTTTTTTAGTTTAATTTAATAAATTAAGCAAAATAAAAAAATTAAAAATGTCGGCTAACTTTATTATTATCAAAAAAAAAAATTGACATAGAAATTAAAACAAATAAAAACTGCAGTTTTTTTTATAATAAATAATTGTTTGGAACAAATTTTTTTATTAAATAAAATTAAAAAATTTTTAAGTGACTGCGAACTTTAATGTCATATATTTTTTATGATACTGAAATTGAAAAAAAAATTGTTAATTTCCTAGACTTTTTTATCAAATAAATTATAGCAAGAAAAATTTAGAAGTTGTAAAAAATTGCAAATGTACTTGTTTAAAAATAATTTTCTAAACTTAGTTTATTTGTCAAGTAAAATCCAAAAATAGTCAAGTATTTGTTAATTTCAGTGTCATATTTTATTTAATAAATTTTTTTGCAAAATTCTACCTGTAAAAATCACAAAATAAACATCAATGCATTTTCTTTAATGTATTTTTCTAGTATCAAAGTTTATTCCCGGAAAAATGTTTAGTAATTGTGTATTTTCATGGTCACCCGTTTTTTTTTTTTTTTTGGGCATACAATAGGAAGATTAAGGTTTTAAAAAATTTAGATTATTTTAATTCTTTCAAAGCGATAATTATGATAATAATCGTGAAAATATTCGTATGAAAATAAATTTTTCAATTAGTTTCAAAGCTTTTTATTTTACCTGTAGAAATTAACAACTTAGAAAAAAAAAAAACTATTAAAAAATGTCAGTTCTTTTGTTATTTCTCCTCAAAAATCTTGTTATATCGAAAAATTCAATATTTTTTTAATTGTTTTATTTTTGATGAACTTTGAAAAAAAAAATTCTAAATATTTTTATAGGTCAAAGTTAAACAATTATCAAGTTCTTTGTTAAAATTCAATAGTTTAAAAAAATGATGTAAAATATTCTTAAACTTGTTAACAATTTTAATCAATAACTGAACTTTGTTTCAATAATTAAAAAAAATTTTAACAATTTAGTTAATTTAAGTAATCATATAATTAATGAAATAGAAACAATCGGTAACTTTTCTGTCCTTAATGGCTTACTGAAAAACAGTCTTCTGGAAGTGAGCAGATGTTTCTTCATCAAAGCCATTATTCGACATAATCCAAATAAGTCCTCGATTGAAGATGCTAAAACTGTTTAATTTAAAATTTATCTTTGCAAATTAAAATGATATTAAACAATTTCAACATAAAGTTACACACTGATATATAATTTTAAGATATTAAATAAAATTAAAAAATTTTTAAGTGACTGCGAACTTTAATGTCATATATTTTTTATGATACTGAAATTGAAAAAAAAATTGTTAATTTCCTAGACTTTTTTATCAAATAAATTATAGCAAGAAAAATTTAGAAGTTGTAAAAAATTGCAAATGTACTTGTTTAAAAATAATTTTCTAAACTTAGTTTATTTGTCAAGTAAAATCCAAAAATAGTCAAGTATTTGTTAATTTCAGTGTCATATTTTATTTAATAAATTTTTTTGCAAAATTCTACCTGTAAAAATCACAAAATAAACATCAATGCATTTTCTTTAATGTATTTTTCTAGTATCAAAGTTTATTCCCGGAAAAATGTTTAGTAATTGTGTATTTTCATGGTCACCCGTTTTTTTTTTTTTTTGGGCATACAATAGGAAGATTAAGGTTTTAAAAAATTTAGATTATTTTAATTCTTTCAAAGCGATAATTATGATAATAATCGTGAAAATATTCGTATGAAAATAAATTTTTCAATTAGTTTCAAAGCTTTTTATTTTACCTGTAGAAATTAACAACTTAGAAAAAAAAAAAACTATTAAAAAATGTCAGTTCTTTTGTTATTTCTCCTCAAAAATCTTGTTATATCGAAAAATTCAATATTTTTTTAATTGTTTTATTTTTGATGAACTTTGAAAAAAAAAATTCTAAATATTTTTATAGGTCAAAGTTAAACAATTATCAAGTTCTTTGTTAAAATTCAATAGTTTAAAAAAATGATGTAAAATATTCTTAAACTTGTTAACAATTTTAATCAATAACTGAACTTTGTTTCAATAATTAAAAAAAATTTTAACAATTTAGTTAATTTAAGTAATCATATAATTAATGAAATAGAAACAATCGGTAACTTTTCTGTCCTTAATGGCTTACTGAAAAACAGTCTTCTGGAAGTGAGCAGATGTTTCTTCATCAAAGCCATTATTCGACATAATCCAAATAAGTCCTCGATTGAAGATGCTAAAACTGTTTAATTTAAAATTTATCTTTGCAAATTAAAATGATATTAAACAATTTCAACATAAAGTTACACACTGATATATAATTTTAAGATACAACATAAATATATATGAGGTTATATTAAACTAAAAACATAATTTTTCGATATCAAAATATTGTTTTATTTGACTATTATCTATTTAATCATCATAGAAAACATCTTCAACAATAGAAATACAAAACAAAAAAAGCAAAGTATTAACATTATCATTAATAATATCAATATCTTAAAACACTATGTTAATTACTGCTTTCTGAGATCAATTTTTACAAAACTCCAACGGAAAAAAATGAAAATTAAAAAATAATAATGCAAAAAATTAAATTAATGACCAAAAATGTCTAATAATTATGATATTCTAGATATTTTATATTATTTTCCTTTGATCATGTGATTTAATTTGCTACTGGTTATTATGAACCAATATCCAAAGAGCATGAATCTGAAACAAAAAGAAAAACATTCCTCAAATTTCTACGTATACTAATTTCCGGATTATTTATTAGCAAACAACTGATAATTATTTCTTCTTACGATATGATATGAAAAAAACAATTATCAACAAAGAAAAATATATAATTAAAAACTTCTGAATTTATTTTTTCCAAAATTACCTTATTCATTAGCTTGATGAAGTGACAGGAACAACGGAAGAGTTTATTTCTTCTTCGGACTCTGGTTGTTGTCCTTGACGAGTAGTCAGCAAAACTGGAGCAGCAGTTTGAACATTCCCTTTTGAAGGAAGAAATCCTGAGGAATGTTGGCCATTGTTGTTGGTTACAGGAGCTGTCTCTGAAGCTACCGAAGCAGGAACATTCTGATCGTCTCTCTGGGTACTGGAAGCTCTCGGTTGTTGCACATTGAGCGGATTTTGAAATAATGTATTAGAAGAAGTAAGCTCACTCAAGTCCAGACGGGTGTCATCAATATTAATAAAATTATGATTTGACATGATTGCAATTATTTTAACTTATGACTACTAAGCATCAAAGTTAGAACTGATATAAGTACTAAATTTGCTTTTATTTGTATTCGAACGCAGTGTGGTTGTACCGCGTACCGCTGCCCTGCCATCTTGTTTTCAATAAACCCGGAAAATTCAAATTAAAAATATGAAAATTAAATGATACTAAAGTTAGCCGACGTTTTTAATTTTTTGATTTTTTTTTTAATAATTAAATTAGAACAAAAAATATTTTTTAAAAATTACACTTACAGTTTTTCATGTTTTTAACAAATGACATTTTTTTTTCTTTTTTTTTTGTAGTCATTTTTTCGATAAAAAAATTTTTTTTAATTTTCAAATGTCGGCTAATTTACTTTTCATAAAATTAAATTAGCCGACATGTTTTAATTTTTATAATTTATTTTATTAAAAAATAATGTTTGAAAAATTAAAAGAAAAATTTTCACATGTAGAAAATTTTAAAAATTATACGTGTAATTAAAAAAAAATTTTTTTTTAGTTCTATTTTAATTAATTAAAAAAATCAAAAATTGTTGAGTGTCTGATAATTTTAGTATCATATTAAAAATTATTAATTTAAAATTTTCTCGTTGCTAAGAAAATTAATTTAGCAAGTTTTTACAGAAATTATTATCGCATTAATTATAAATAATAAACATCAATTTTTATAAACTTAATTAATTTCTAACAATTAAACAATAAAACAATATCTTAAGACCCTATATTATTTATTGGTAGAAACTACAAAAAAAATAAAACATTGTTTTTTTTTTTATTTTTATTAATATTCACCCAAGAAAATAGAATTAGATTTTTTCATTATTTTAAATTATCAATTCATTAATTTATAATACAATCGATATTATTTTACAATTATTAAGATTTATAGTTACAATTTAATTAATAAATCTATTAATAAATTTATGTTCAACAATTTTTATCAGACGGAATTATTAATAGTTATTTTAAAATATATTTCTCTTTTACTTATAGATATATTATATATTAATAATTATAATAAATGCTGAGAATTGCTTCTAAGCTGAGTAATCGCTGCAGTCAAAAAGTATTCATAATCGTAGCAAGGAGATGATTTTTATAAAATAAATGCTGTGTATTTAATAAAGAATAGATAGGATAGCTTTGACGGCACATGCAAATTTATATAATTGATGATTGATTGATTGATTTCGTTGATCAGCTTAAGAAAATAATCTCTCGTGAGTTCAAGTTATAAATAAACAAATAGTTAAACTATCAGTAATAATTAGTTGTGGAATTAATGATTGTACAATAATTATTCTTATTGTTGTAAATTTAAAATCAGTGTCATACACTGTCCAATTCAACAGCGACTTCTTCAATGGTTGCTCTACACATGGGACATTCAACAAGTTGCATCGGGCATGTTTGACAAAATCCTCTGAAAATAAAAAAAAAAATGTGTGTCAGCTCCGACGCACGACTGGAGTTTACTCCTTACGAATGATTATAAAATAAATAGATTAGTTAATAAGGGTAAATGAATGTATTTCTTATATTACTTAGAGTATGCATGACACATCTATAGATTGATTTTTATTCATTGAATAATTTTCTCAATTTTGAAATAAATATCAATTGATATAAATTTATATTTATATCAATTATAAATAAAATATAAAATTTACGATAAAACCTCCGCAAGTTGACAGTTGTCGTAGGTTAATATCAGGTTAATACAATATGCAATTGAAAGTAAATATATTAATTATCGTATTCGGCTTATTAAACCTACCTCGGGGTAAAACAAACGAATAGCAGCTGACTGAATCTGAAGTTTTCAAGATTTAAAAATTTAATTTGAGGTCCAATCAAATGCTTTTGTATTCAATGCCCCGGGGTAGGTTTTGTAAGCCGAACACGACAAATGATTATTTGAATCGGAATTTTTAATTATTTGAAAATTTTGAATCGGCTAATTTTACGTAATGCTAGGCTAAGTATCAGCTAAAATTGCTTTTCTAGAGTCTAAAAACGGAACATTTACGATTTTCAATTTTACAGAAATTCAATATTTAAAATATTATTATTTGAGAAATGACAATCTTTTTAAATTTCAATATTTTTTTTCGTTTATTTGTTACTTTGAATCATTTTCATAAATTAGCTTATGTCACATTGGCATTATTTTATTAATGCAGTATTTTATTTGAATTATTTATTTTTAAGTGACTGCCTTTTTAAATTTTAGATGTTCTTTTTCGAAAATTCGCGGATTTTTTCTTTGTCATTTTTTACTTTACGCTCAATTTACACCTAGCGTTATATTCTTTTTGCCCACATTAGCAGTCTTTTTTTTAGGTTTAGTAAATTTGACAAAGGGCATAATTTTAGATTTTCAACATTTAGACTTTAGAAACGACCGAATTTACAATTTTCAATTCAACTATAAACTGGAATACCTATTTGAATTAATGCGCGCAGCTGTATATATTATATACTTATATATTTTATATAGTAATAAGTTATTACTAACAAGTTATTAGTAATAACTAATAACATATATAGGGTAGAAGTACCGTTTGTGGCCACTGTACCGTTTGTGGCCACTGTACCGTTT